AGAAGTGAGCCACCATAGGATGCGTGGCCTATCGAATTCAAGAAAGTGCAGAAATGGCTGAACATTTAAGGGTGTTAAGCTTAAGACCCTTCTCCAAGCCTGCTTGTAGGAAACCCAGAACTTGAGATATGGTAGGAACACCTAAATCCGGGGCCGTGGAGTTTCTCCATAAAGCAAAAGCCTCCCAGATCTCTTGATAAGTAGAGGACGTAGAAATTTTCCTGGAACATAAAAGGGTTTAGACCACCTGATCCGATAAGCCTTGTTCAATTAGGAATTGCCTTTCAATAGCCATTCCTAGAGCCTGAATTTGTGAGGTTCCCGATACAACACAGGGTCTTGAGTCAGCAGATCCTTGGAGACTTGCTACTCTTTACAGAAGGGGAAACCAAGGTCGACGTGGCCATAAGGGGATTACTGCTATCACCTTGCAACGTTCCCTGGAAATCTTCCTCACAACAGTGTGAATTAGAGGAATGGGAGGAAAAATGTAAGCCAGATGAAAAGATAATTTGATTTATAGGGCATTCTGACCTATCACCTTCGCATAGTAACTCCTTGACACAAAGCACGGAACCTGTGCGCTCTGAGCAGTCACCATGAGATCCACTTGGGGAAGTCCCCACCTCTGGACCAATTGCTGGAAGACTGTCTTCGAAAGTTGCCATTCTGTTGCCTCTATCTGGTGTCTGCTGAGAAAGTCTGCTAAAACATTCTCCTTTCCCAGAAGATAGATTGCACACAAGCCTTCTACATGTAACTGGATCCAGTTCATGATGGCAGTCACTTCTCTCATTAGAGATACACTCCTGGTCCCTCCTTGATGATTGATAGAAGCAACAGCCGCCTTGTTGTCTACCCTCAATTTGATCCAGGAATTCCAGATAAGGTGTTGGAAGTGGAGTAGTGCCAGAAATGTTGCTCTCAGTTCCCTTATGTTTTAAGGCAGGTTCTGAGTCCTTGAAGGCCATCTTGCTCGGAAGAATAATTTTCCCAGATGTGCTCCCCATCCGTACTGACTGGCATCTGTTGTGATGAACACACAATCTATTTCACTCAAAGGAAAACTCCTGGAAATGTTTTTCCCAAGATAGCCACCAAATAAGCTTCTTTTTCAGAATGCGGATCAACCTTTCCCAGTCACTCGAGCTGGTTCGGAAATTCTTCAGGAAAAAGTGTTGAAGAGGACAAAGATGCCATTGCGCCCATCTGACAAGGTCTCTTGTTGAGGAAAAAGTACCTAGAAGCATCATAAATTCTCTCGCAGGTGCTGAAGTTTTTTTATTTGAAGCTCCGATCTTGTAGGACAATTTTCCTGTCGTGTGCGAGAGATACTATCGCTGTGCTGGTATTGAAGTTTGCTCCCAAGAATACCAGTTCTCTTCTCGGATGTAATTGACTCTTCTCGTGGTTGAACCACCCGAACTGAGAGAATGTCTCTAGGACTAGATGTCGGTGCGGAAGCATGGTCTTGAAGTCTGGTGCAACTACTAAGATGTCGTTGAGGTAGTTAAAAACTGCAACATCTTTCCTTCTGAGAAGAGCAATAACGGTGACCAGAATCTTCGAGAATGTCCTTGAGGCTGTACTTATCCCTAAGGGAGAAGCCTGAAACTTGAAGTGGTCTCTCTTGACACAAAGTCGGAGAAACTTCTGATGTTTGGCAGTGATGGGAACATGGAAATATGCATCCCTTAGATCGACAGATATTAACCAATTCCTGTGGTGAACCACTGGAATGATGGCACGGATGGATTCCATGCGAAACCTTCTTACCTTTTAAGGAAAGGTTGAGCTGATGGAGATCCAGGATATGTCTCCATTTCCTTCCTGGTTTCTTGACCAAAAACAGGGGATAATATAACCCTTGGAACCTATCTTGCACAGGTACAGGAATAATGACTTCAAGACCTCTTTTTTCTGTCTGTTGGTAGGAAGCCTTGTCCTGAGGAACCTTGGTGGAGGAGAAGAATCCTCGAACTCCAGACAATAACCTCCGCTGATTTATGAAGTCATCTGGAATAACTCCCCAAGCCCCCTGGAAGAACGAAAGACGTGCTCCTACATCAGGTACTTGGTGTAAGCCACATTCAGAATTGCTTGTTGGGGCGAAAGGAAGAGGTCTGAGTCTTGTTTCTGGAAGACTTAGAGTTCTGACCGCTCTTCCAATTGGAGTGTCGAGTATATTCTCTGCCGGTCTCTATGTTTTGGTTTCTCTATAACCACCTTGAAGCCTGTAAGGTCGATGATCCTGTTGCGGTCTCTTTGGTCGTCTGTCTTGCGGAAGCATGACCTGTTTTACCTCAGCTGCTTTTGTAATAGCCTCTTCCAGTGATAAGCCAAAAAATACCTCTCCCAAAAATGGCAGGGTACGTAAATTTGTTTTTGGAGTGGAGGTCTGCACCCCCAGGACCTTAACCACAGTGCCCTTCTGGCAATAATGGAGTGTGCCATGACTTTTGAAAGGATTCTTATGAGATCCGTGGAAGATTCCAATAGCAAGTCGCTGGCCAGCTTGATATCCCTTAAGGATTCTGCCATCTGACGTCTACTCACTCGCTTCTCCATATCTTCTTCCAAATTAAGAATCCAGGAACGCAACGCTCTGGATAAAGCTGCAGCTGGATGGCATCCTAGACCTGCTGTCATGAAGACTTTAGAAAGGTCTGCGTCTATTATTTTATCCACGGGTTCCTTTAGTGAAGCATTGCTGTCAATAGGAAGCGTGGATCTATTAGCTATCTTAATAATTGGAACATCAATCTTTGGGACAGCTGTCCACATTCTTGAATCTTCCACCTTTATTGGGTACAATTTGGAAAGTCTACCGTGACTGGTAATCCCTTTTTCCCGGATTATTCCATTCTGAGCATATCAGATCCTTAATAGATATTTTGGATTTACTAGAAGAAGTCAAAGAATGTTCAGCTTCTGACAGGCACTTTGGAGACTTACATAAGAGGTCTTCTCTTGTGTAAGTCTCCAAAGTGCCTGTCAGAAGCTGAAAATTCTTTGACTTCTTCTGGTATGTCCAAAGTTCTCCTGACAGCCATAATCAAATGCTCTATAGCTTTTGAGTCTAAAGACCATGGCTGTTCTATGAACTCTTCCTCACTAGATGAGGTGGGTTCAAATTCCAGAGAGCCAGCGGTGTGTCTGAAGTCATCGTCAGACTGGTCTGAATCCCGGACAAAGCTCTCACATCTGGGCCTTTTACCTTTGCTGATTCTGAGGTCCCTTCTACCACTGCTTGCTTCATCCAGTAAACTATGTCTTGGGCTGAAGAGGTAGAAGCTTGAGGAGTTTTCTGATGTTCCGACTCTCCTGCAATTATTGATAAACATTTACGGCATAGCCTGCAGTTATCCAAGGGTCTTGCACCACATCCTGGGCAGGCCGCCGGTTTACCCCTTCTCCTAGATGGAGATCTCGGGCCAGACAGGTCTTGAGTGCTGCAAGACACAGAAGTCATATGACTGTACACGCCATGCACTCTTTTTGTAGAACAGTAAATTTATTAAAAAAAACTAAATGCTCACCTGTGACCTATTATAGATCTTGCTGACTTTGAAGATGGAGATGCTGGTTCCATACTAGAAGCAGGGCTAAATAAAAAGGCAAGTGTACCTTTAGCAATTTCTGTGCTGTCAAATGTATTATTCTTTCAAAGGTATAATCCATACCTGCAGATTTTGTAAGTAGCACTAGAGAGCACTGTAACTTTAAGGGAAAAGAAACAAGGGTTTTCTTTAGTATTCCCGCCGTTTCAAATTTCCCACTCTGTGCCTTTAAGGAAGCGCGCCTGCGCTGATTGGCCGCAACTCTGCCATTTGGGAAAAGGGCAAAAAGTCTTGAAATCCGGCCTCGTCTAGTGCGCATGCACCGGTGTCTTACCAGAGTGCTGATCGTCTGGATGTTCCGTCCTGGAAAACCCAGGCTCCAGATGCCAGGGGAACTTACTGGTTAGAGAGATCTCCCTTATAGAGTAGCGATGTCAAAGTGTCAAGTAGGCAGGGCAACTTCTACCTGGGCTGCTCTCTAACCACTTTCCACATCTAATTGCCATAGTGCATTGCACTTTAATTCTTTCTATTCAATTATCTTGAATGTGTATCAACACATCTAGTTTACTTGTGTCTATCGCTGATGTTAACAAGTGGGTTGGTAAAATTGCACTATGGGCCACTAAATAGATTTCCCCCTAGGGTGTACATGTGTGACTGTGTTAAGGTGCTTGTATGTGCGTGCATGACAGGGGGAGGGGCAGTATTTAAATCTTGGGCCGGCCCTGTGTGGAGCCGCAAACATATAAAAAGTTGGAACTGCTTATTAAACTTTTTGCATCCCATTACTGACTATAGTGTTCCTTTTAATGAGCCTTCCTATCATTAATGTGCTATACAAATTTCTGTTCACACTTATTCTGTAATTTGCTGCCTGCCAGCTTTGTCTTGCTTATTCATAATACATACAGTATGTATTTTTCTTTTTTCTCTTGTGAAAATAAAAAATCTATATAAAATAAATGGCTCCTAAAAGTGGTTCCCAAACTAGTCCCTAATCCTTAAATCCTGGACTGTTAGTGGTTCCTTGAGGAGTGGTTTGGGAACCACTGGCTTATGCCAATGCTGGTGGACCCAACAATGTTTTAAACCCACTATTGTGGGGTTTGGAGACAGTACTCATTCAAGATGAGCGTGTCTGATCCAACCTCTGCGCTTTATGCCTAATTATAGACTGTAAAAGTGTCTCAAATGGCTACAGATTCATCAGTTAATACCTTGCAGAAAAACTATGCAGCATTAACCTCATATGTGGTTACATTGTAAGACAGAGCCAGAGTCCACAATATCCTGATTAGAGTGGTACCTGAGAGCATTCTCAATGAAGACTGCCTACACTATCTCTGCTGCTGGTTTTTTAAAATGTATTTTTTTTATTTCTTCATGCTTTTACCGCCCAAATAGGCTAAGCTACTTTTGCTGGAAAGTTGTTTCAGGATGACCAAAAGGCCAAGGGCACCTCGGGAGGCTTTCAGAGATGTACTTGCTATATTCCTGAAAGACTCTGAGAGGGCAATGCTAATGAGTGCCACTTTATTTAAAGGGTCACAACTCCCCTTCTTCAGGGACTTATCTAGACAGTCATGTGACGACAGTCCATCCGTTTGCTTACTAGGGATCCCAGGGGCTGCTGATGGAATGGTAAAATATACAACTCCTCTCAAACCAACAGCACATGGAGAGACAAAATAGTATAAGAACAGCCAGGTGCAAACCATATAAACACTCCCTCAAGTGCTTTAAATATTCAATTGTATATAGAATATAGAATGCACACTATAACAATCTCAAAAAAACTTAGCTTTATTATGTACAAAAAAGTACCAGAGTGAAAACATATAAGAAAAGATAAACAAAGTGACAGAAGCAAGGGCAAACACAATAAAACAATAATAAATTACCACAAAAATTCTTACAAACCTTAAGACAGAAACATGAGTCACCAAACCCCCCAATGTTTTTTTTTTTTTTAATTCTTTATTTTGTTTGTGCGTTATTTGGTTTCATGTATTATATTGACAGATACAGGAGTTTAGAATATGCATTACACGGTAGATTAGTCAATTTGTACAGCACACATTTTTCTTTTTTACAACAGGTTGCACAACGGTTGCTTGCATTAGTGCTTACATATGTAACTGGGTATATAACCCGTCCTGTAGTAGTGTTAGCCCCTCTTTCTGCTCTGTATGGTTTGGGTCACATGTTTGTACTCTTGATGAGGTTTTGGATCACTATGTGTAAGTGCACTAGTTTGTGGCGTTCATGAGGAGTCAAGGGTGGTCTACCCGTGGTGCTATTTTAGCTGTGGTCACTCTTTGTGGGCCGGTCGTCTGTGATGTAGCGTCGTTGTGGGGTCACGGCTTTTACCACGGTAGTGGGGGGCCCCTAACCTAGGGGGGCTGCGGGGGGTAGGGGGAGAGGGAGCAGAGAGCTTGTCCGGAGCCTCCCTGCATTAGTGTGGTGTCATGTGATAGTCACTAAGCATGTGGGTATCTCTTAGTGTATGTGGGTGAATGGTTGGCACGGAATGTGTGGGTCAATAACAGAGGTAATAACTAGTATAACTAAACAATTATATGAAACGAGCAACAGTCAGTATGCGAGTTTAAGAAAGTCTACTTTAGCCAGAATGGCCAGGCTTGCTTGCAGACCGTGTCAGGTTTCCGAGTCTGTGCTTGGGGATCGGGGGATGAATGGTCTCGTGGTGGCTGGATCTCCCATCCGGGCTGGTCCTGTTTGGGCTGTTATCTGGAGAGCGTCCGATGGTCCCAAAAGTGTGAGGACTGCGAGTATATCTGCCTCCGATGTGGCTCTGTGGATAGTCCCCTTGTGCGGAATCAGCAGGGTCCGCGGCGTGCCCCATCTGTACTGTATGCCTGCGGTTCTCAGGCGGCTAGTTAAGTGTTTTATTGATCTCCGCCAGAGTAGTGTCGCTCGAGTGAGGTCTTGGAAAAAAAGTAGGTTGGCGTTTTCGAATGGCAGGGGAGTCTTGCCTCTGATTGCCGCCAGTATTGCTGCTTTATCTTGTGTTGTGGCACACTTTAATATAACGTCCTTAGCCTCCGCGGCTGGTGTGGTGTTCCCAGTTTGCAGCCGAAATATGCCTTCTAGGGCGAGTTTTCTGGCAGTAGTTGGCGGTAGTATGGAGGCAAGAAGCCTCCTCACAAAGTGGGGCAACTCCTCTGTGGTGATTTCTTTTGGGACTCCTCTGAGCTTAATGTGGTTGCGACGCAGGCGGTCCTCCTGGGTGGCCACCTGCGCCGCCAGTGCCTGGTGGGCTGTCTGCAGGGACTGCAGGGCTGCGGTGAGATTTGTTGTCCCACTGGTTAGTGATTGTATGTCCCCTTCTATGGCACTCACCCTCTTACGTACGTCCGTCTTGAGAGTGCCAATATCCGCGGCTAGCAGGGTTTGAATTTCCTGCATCCATGTTTGCAGGTCTTGTTTTGTAGCAAAGGTATTTTCGCTCAGCTCTGTGCCAGCCAGGGGTGAGTTGGGTCGCTTGTCCTCAGGCCCTAGCTCCAGTGCGTGTGCCCGCTCCAATAGTGGTGGCGGGGGGCCTACTGTGGAGGATCTCGTGGCGGCCATTTTGGAAGGTGCTTGTCGTTGCAGCATTTCCCCGATGTTCGGCTGGTCTGCTGCCGATGCCGGGTACTGCTTTTGCGTGCGACGCCCCATGGTTGCAGTGGGGCTGCTGTGTGTTGCGGTAGCCGTCCCCTCCGAGTCTGGGCGGTATTCCGTCCCGATGTTGTCTAGGAGAGTCTCCAGGCCGTAGCTCGTGGGAGTGAGGTAGGCCCGGTGTTTTTGTTTCACCTTTCTGGGCTTCGTTTGGTGAAAGAAGGGCATTAGTTGGCTCCTCTCAGTTACCCCGTGTTCGGGGTGGGGTTGATGTCTGCGGATGGGTTAAGATGCCCGTGATATGCTCAAGTTTATCGTTGCGAGGTCGGGAGCTGATGGAGATGGCGTCCGTTCAGCTCTGCTCCCAAGCCCCGCCCAAACCCCCCAATGTTTCGGCACCAACTGGCTGCCTTTATCAAGGGTACCTGATTGTTATAGTGTGCAAAATATACAACTCCTACCTTTTATTCATGGATTGGGACTTTCGGGGGACCTGCTTTTGCCATGTGATCACCAATGGAATATCTGCTCTAATGTGCACGTTGTACCAGGTTCCAGAATGTCCACGCCAGAGAAGCTTCGTTCGTGATACGGTTTAGCACTGTTCTGTATACTTGTATCACAGCCTGGTTCTGAAAGCTACACTCTCTCCTTGATTCTGCAAACTCTACCATAAGTGCGATATGACAATTTTACCTTTCTTCTAGGCCAGTGATGGATAACCTTGACACCAATAATTGTTTCTGGACTACATTTCCCATGATGCTCAGTTAGCTTTTAGACTCTAAAAGCTGGCTGAGCATCATGGGAAATGTAGTCCAGAAATCATTTATGGTGGCAAGGTTAGCCATTACTGTTCTAGGCACAACATTCTGGCTGACCTCTTATTTCTTCTGTTTATTTCCACAACTTAACATAAGTTTAGGCCTGCTATATTCTGTATACTTAAATGGCTATTTTCAATTTCTTTGCCGTTCTGTTATGCAGCCATTATTTCTTGTTTCAAAAATTGTGGTTTCTACAGCAATTTTTTTTTAATTTTTTTACCTTTTGAAACACTATTGCACTCAAGTACCAAGTTCTTAATCTTTAAGTTCACCACGCCCCTTATTCTTTTCCCTTAGTTGGCTTGGGCAAGCTTCCCACAAGTTCTGTGTTTCGGATGGACATGGTGATGTAATGATGGGGTCACTGATGCGTTTTGCCCACTAGTAGAGCTTTGTCAAACCGATGACCTGCTCCTCCTTTGTATCTATTTATATACAACAATGTACTTGTAGCGGAGAGCTAGTGATAGCAGGGCTTCTTCTCCGCTGGTTACTCTAGCAGCTACTCGGGAACAAACAGGATGATTCAAAAAGGCAGGCATAAGCATAATATAATCCATGAATATCCCATCACCCTTCCCAGTAACTGGACGACACTCAGTATTAGGAGCAGAACTGCACCTCTAATGGCCAGGCTGGCCTTTTATGCAGGTTTTTCCCAAAAGGCCATCACCCAGGTGGACCTTGCTGGGCACAGGTAAAAACAGAAAACAACCAATAAACACGGAGTCAGGTAAAAAGTCACTCCCATACATTTCACACAATCCCTCCCCTCTGCTTAGGAGATAATTGAGTTAATTACTGTACTGTTTTAAATAAGAGCCAGCACAGAGTCTCAGCAAAAACATATATACATTTGAGACTTCCTTTTGTTCAAAGAGTGAGTCTGGTAGCAAAATAGTACTGGCCCTTCTACCTTACGTCATGCAAGTGACATAGTAAAAGATGAATAAAAGTAATTTAAAAGCATTGCAAATATGTCTTCCTGAGCTAAGCACCTAACCCTGCATTCAATGTATTAGAGGGAGAATTCTTCTGACGGAATCAGAGAATTAATACTGGGAGCAGAGGAAGAATGCAGAGCATAGAGCTAAATCATCAATCCTTTTTTATTGTTGAATTGACCAATGGCCACCACTGTCGGGTGATTGCTCTTGAAAATAAACTTTGATGAAAGGGGCCTATTGTGAATCCAATATCAGTTTATTTAGCAATCAAGGTATCTAAAACTGCACCTGCCTGCATTGATGTTGTTGCACACCTTGGCTTGACCTATGAATATTTTGTTTATCCCTCAGTTCAGTTTGTTTAGGCTTGACCAATGATGAAGGTGAAACTTGACTAGTGGTTGGGAGACTGAGCTTATTGGGTTACAGATTACTTGTATTTGTGGTAGATGCGCAAATTGTGCTTGCTGGAGCCTTAAGTCTTGGGACGTGCCTGCAAAAAGCTCTTTGTCCACCTGATTTCAATGTATTTAATATTAAACTGGACCAGACCTTACCCATTACTAACACCCCCTATGAGCCAGACAAATAATGTCTAGAAGACCCCAAGAGATATGTCCATGCATCCCTATAGTAACATACATAATGAAACCTGATACATAAATACCTAGGACAAGGAACCCGTCTTAGAAATTAGTAGTACATATTTTAAATATTTTTAAAAGTTTGTTCAATAGGTATGATTCTTTCTGTTGTTTACCTACAGTTTCCTTTTTAACAGTAATGGCTCGGGCCTAAGTAGCTCCAAAGGTATCCCGCAAGAACACACGATCATACATCTACGCAATGTCCTTTAGTAAGATGTAGAGTAGACGCTTCTGGTTACCTCTAAGGGCCCTACACCGATCCTGGCCGTTTCTACCTCATGACTGTACAAAGTACAATGTTAATTTGACGGTTTTTTAATGACGTATGTATCCCTCGTTGGGGCGCTTTCTAATTTAGATATGTAATTGGCCATGTACCGTTACCTTCCCTACTGTTCATCCATTGGGTGCGCCTGTACTTCCAGCAAGCATGCATTGTTTGGGCACGATTATATGTTAAGTATTGGGGACATACTGTCTTATCCTGTCGCTGATATGTCAAACACAAATAAAGAATTTAAAAAAAAAAAAAAACAGTAATGGCTCATGTGTGCTGGAGTTGGATAAAATGTTTGTTTCTTGGGAAGCAGGTTTGATATTTCTCTTGTCCCTAGAATGGAGACATTTATGATTTTTGGAATTGGTTACTGAACTGTAATTGTTTATTGTATTGTAGGAAACACAGGAGGCGGATGACAGCTGCTCTCTTCGGGATGTGTCTGAGGGCCAAATTGGAAAGCTAGTTGTACGCAAATCTGGCAAGATACAGCTTGTATTGGGCAAGGTCACCCTTGATGTCACAATGGGGACAACCTGTTCTTTTCTGCAGGTAAGTTAATTCTCTCTTTTAGACTAGGTTTGTCTTTTCTATCACTTTACTCCTGTCTGGAAACTTTATCTGTGTCATTCTCTTTCACCATGCATTTGGCCCTTTAATGCATTCCTTGTTATTAGCAAACAAACAAAAGTGTAGCACAAGAAAATAACACTAGAGGTCAAATACCTGCCCTTTGGTGGGTCCCAGCTCAGCTCTCAAATTAGTTTTAGCTCACTCTGAGATTACCTGAACCACTTTGTTATTAAATTGATATGCTCCCTCAAATGATACACTGCATCCCCAGATGATTGTTTCAGGATAATGATTACAGTAGTAAATCATTAGTTACAGTTTATTTTATTTTGTTATAGCAAATTGTAGCTGTAGTTTTGTGACCAGGGTTCTGCATAATAAATATGATTTTTCAACAATGCTGACTCATAAGTTCTTGAAATAATACGTAAATCCATAAAATAAGGTCTTGTGTAGCTTCCATTGTTTCTATTATAGTGAAGCTGACATTGTGATATATTAGTGCTAGTTAATAGACAAAACTTTTTTCTTTTTTGACATAAGATTAGTAGTGTTTTAGTGAAGACAATGCCAACCATCTTTTCCATTTATAAATCACGTTTTATAAGATTTGTTCATGAAAATGTTTTCCAGCCTACTCTGCTTGAGAAGATTTCTGTATTCTTGCATGACTTAGATATATGTTACATCTGTTTTTTTCCCTCTGGCAGGAGCTGGTGTCAGTTAGTGTGGGTGAAGCTCGAAGTGGAGAGATGATGGTTTTGGGCCATGTTCAGCACAAGCTTGTATGTTCCCCGGACTTTGCGTCTTTACTAGAAGGAAGGCATCGTTGAGTCCTTACTTTTCACCACAGTGATGGATTATGTCTGTCTGTTGCTCCAGTTATATCAGAAGCACTGCTACATTACTTTTATTAGCATGGCCTCTGGGCCTGTACAATTGTTTACTTTGGCATAGCATGTGACTTATGATTCTGTGTGTGGAAGAGGCTGATTCATCTGTGTAATTAGACTCTTGTTGACACGTGCTGCTCCTTAACTTCTAGCATGTACTACTGGACTTTTCACTATGATCTAAATCACACTTTGTATAATTGTAAATACTGGATATGAAATACAGAAATAATTTAAGCAGAGTCCCACGTCTTAAAGCTGAAAATGTTACCATATAATATTTAAATTTAACCAATGTAATAATTAACTATAATATGTATGTCAAATTTATATTATGTTGACTGTTCACCAGGTTTCTGTTGAAGAAACCAAGTCAAGATATATTTTATTTTTTAATTGGATAACAACCTATTCTGTAAAGCTGTACAATTTAAGTATTAGTTAATTGACACCTATCATTTAAGTCATATTTCTATATACCAATAAAGGAGGAGTTGGAGATACTTCAAGTGAGTTTACAGTAAAGGTCATCATCTACTTATAAAAGTATGTGTGTAGAATATATATGGTTAGATGAACACTCCAAGCCCCATAACCACAGCATGGGGCCATCCCAACGTAATTAGTCTTGCCATTTAAGATTGAGTGCTGCTGGACACCTGTTGCAGCCTCCAATGGTGCCTTTAGGTCCGCTAAGCTAAGCTCTACAGTGCAGGGCTGGCTCATTGCCTGAGGCTATAGTCGTCATGATGCTTGGAGTATTCCTTCCACCTGCAACAAAAATTAAAAAGAGATTTACTCAGTCAAATGTTGAGCACACAGTGAATTAACAAGCAAGTTTCAAGACTGTAATCTAAAATGAAGAAAATTGTTAGAGGATTTTCCAGCTCTGCTTTTCTGGTGTTGGGTACCTTACCACAACTTTATTTTGTGAAAAAGCCCTAAATACCTCATTAGCAAAATCCAGAAATAATAATGTTACACATAACGTATTTTCATATAAAACAAAAAGTATATAGGATTTTAAGATTCCTCTGCGTGTTTTTTTTTTTGTTTTTATGATAAACTACCTTTCTCAAAAGTGTGTAATATACTTTACTTTCAAACCGTGCATGACATATGGTTTTTATTTTTATGTAATAACCTGTATGTATGTTCCACTAATTTCAAGTCCTGGATAACTGATGTAAAAAGAGTTGTTTTTCCATTTGATTTATTTTTATTGCTTGAATTTGCCGATAGTTTGCCAGGCATATGAGCCAAATGCATATATTAAAAAGTTCTTTAAACGTAAATTCACCTAATGCCTTTTGTTGATATTGTGCTATTTAACAATGTATGTCCCTTTTTCTTTGTGACAATCTATGCAACTGTACAGTGTCATTAAATAAACCAAGCTCATCTGTAATAACTACTGTGCAGACATCTGCCATATAAATGCACAGCACTAACGTTATGCTGTAATTTACTTTCCCCATTTATGATGGTGTACACTGACATTTTTCATCTGTTAGTAGTTCTATCTTTTAGCTCTGAAAATTCTGGTGCTTCAAAAATAGTGAATGTTATATTTTTGGCACATTAGCGAGAGACTGAAAAAATGCACCAAGGTAGAAATGTCAGAATAACCATTTTAGAAATGGAATCAAGGGATTGCGTGATGATGGAGGAGGAGCACGCACGCATCCTTACGTGGGGAGGCAGAGCTTAGGCGATGGAATGACTGCGAGCAGCAAGGAAATCAGCTAGCACGAGTATGTGACCAGAGAGACGATTTACAGGTACAAGGAGAACGAAGCAGTGTGCGAAGAGGGAACGGATGTTATTATACTTGAGTGGTTATTGCTTCAGGTAGAGCTGAGCTCAAACATTCTCACAATATAAGCGAATACTTGCCAGCAGAAGCCTACAGCAATCAAGTTGCTCTTCAAAGATAAGTACATACAAGAGATTAATTGTTTCAAAAACACTAAATGGCTGTTCAATGTTAGTTTGGCAGGAATACAGTAAGGGTAAGGATTGCAAAGGGTGGGGGGGAATGAAAAATTTTTTTGCACGTGAACAATTGTTTTAAAAATGTTATTTGGCTGTTTATCATTTCTTCAGCAAGATTGCAGCAAATACTGCAAAGGGAAAAAAGGGTCAGTGGCAAGAGCTTAACTGTTTTAAAACAACTTAATTGATGTCCAATGGCAGTTTTGGCTAGATTGTAGCAAGTAGTGCAAAGGAAAAGCAGAAGCTGCAAGAGATTAATTGTTTTTAAACAAACTGAAATGGTGGTTCCTGGTTAGTCTGGCAAGATTGTAGTGAACAACTGGAAGAAGAAAAAGGACAAGCAGATAGGAGATGGAAGAGAAATAAAGTGGGAAAAAAGTTAACACACTATTACATAGTTTCACAATCTTGAGAGAAGTAAACTTGATCAGTAAAAGGACGAAATTGTGAAAAATATTACAATAAATAAGGGTAGACATACTAAACAAGCTACTCAAGATTGTTACCTCCTGCTTGGCTTTCATCACTTGACTTCAACAGAAAGATCTATCAACTAAATTTACAGAGAAGATGCCTGCAAAAAAAGGAACAAAAATCTGAAAAAGAACCCTCAAGTTTTTTTTCACTAGTAAGTAAACTGACAAAAGAAAAAAACAAGACAATATCTCTCTCTCTTCATCAAGATGCGAAAAATCAATAAGAAAGTTCTTCTAGAGAAACCGAAAATTATATTACAGCAGACTTCCTGAAAAACTGTTTAGAAACGCAACTTGAAGCAATAACCAAATTAATAAAAATTCTGAAGAGCTTAAAAATCAGCTAAAAGATATATCCACAAGACTACAAGTAAATAAAGAAAAGATTACAACTTTAGGGGGCGGGGCCGAGCGGAGCGGCAGCCATCTTCCTCCGCTCCGGTCCCCGCTCTCTAAAGATGGTGATTTACTGCCAAAAGTGTCCAGCAGACTACTAACCATCGCTACCTATACCTGTGGGAACCCACCAGAGATTAGGTGATCCTGGCTGGGGCCCTGTAACACAGAAATACCAAGCCTGCCGACGTCTCAGGCCTACCTCCGGGCTCCACTCCGAGGCCCTGATAAACAGCAACGGTGGGACATGACTGCCTACTCCTAAATGTGCCTGTGGCTGCTCCCGATAGCCCTGTGGGACATGAAGCTGACAGCAAGTAACGGCCCGGTCCCGCTCCCCCCCCTGTAATGGTGGGGGTTGTCCCGCAACCTAAGTTTCAGCCAAAGATGGCGATCCTCCGGCCAGACCTTAAGGGGCGTGAACACCCATCACACTATGCCCAGGAATGGCGGTACAAGACGACACACTCATGTTCGACATGTTGCAGCCCTTTACGGCACATAAGCCCTGGGGACTGCGGACCTGTGGAAGGAGCCACCCGGAACGTCCACCCACCGGAGGCCTGTTGTCCTTAGCCTCTGGGTTTGGGGGGGGGCTGGAGAGATTTGTCCCCAGCACCGCGAGCCCTGTGGAACCAGAAAGTGTGGAGCAGCGGTGTACCGGCGAAGCACAACAGAATCAAGTGTGTGGCCGGAGCTGGGAGAGACATCTCAGGGGACGACACCTCACAGAGTCCCTGAAGATGCAGGGAAGGTATAGGAGATGAATGGACTGTGGACCCTGGGGGGGGGCCCACGGACTGTTTCACTCTCCGAGTGCCCAATTCGTCACAGACCACTCTGGTGGAAGGATGGAACTGAAAGGGCATCTGGAAGGGGGCCAAAGACCCTCTGGGAGCCAAAGCTACCATATTGCAGGCAGCCTGCCAAGGTTTGCTATTACCAGACTATAACTGTATGGGAGGGAGGGGGGGAGCCTGTTTACTGTCTGCATCCCCTTTGTGATCTTAATTTTATTTAAATTGTTTATCACCCTTTATTATTTTAGTTCAGGGTGTCCTGATATGCCCGGCTGCGCGTGCATGGCACAAGGCCCCTTGGGGCAGAGGGGCACTATCCCACTGGCGCTTAACAGGGGACCTCACGTAGGCCCTTTTTCCTAACCCATGTTTCCCCTTCCTAGAAGGCTGAAACAAAAAGTTGTTTTTCTAAAAACATCTATATATATATATATATATATATATATATATATATAAAACCTTCTTTTTGATCCCTGCACACACTTTTTTAAATTATATAAATGCCGGGTGCATTCTAGCCAAAGTCAAATATCACAGAAATAGTAAATGAAGGCTTGCATGCACGGTCTTTTTCTTGTATAAAAATTTTCTTCCTTTATTTCAAGTTTCTTAAAACATAGTCTCCAATAGAATCAACGTTTCAGCCATCACCCGTGGCTTTCATCAGGATCAATTCAGCAAAAAATACATTTACAGCATATTACATTTATATAGCCAAACAAACCAATTATTTAATCATACTATCACTCACCACCTGTATCGCTGCTTCCCTGGCGTCTCTCCATCCCTTCTGCGCATGTGCAACCACATCGCAACCCGGAAGTGGCGTGTTGACGTCACTGCCTGTTGCTAGGGTTACCCGAAATGTTTACCAGCGTCATATCAACTAAACCTGCTCATGCACCGAGGAGAGTTACGCCCGAGCATGCTTACAGACTCCAAATTAAAAACATGTTACAAATTAAAAAAGACATATCATATTAATTCTTACATCTAAGCACATAACTTATTTCCATGTCTATACAACCTATAGTACTTAAAGGTACTTATACCATTTATATTTATCATTTACTCTTCAATTATGTTATAAAGCTATCTTATTAGATTGCTACTATTAAGCACAAATATTAATCAATACAATAGAGACTATATCATCACATAATACCCTTACATGCCACTAATATTTATGTTTATATATATAACCTGACGTAACTCACAATACGCTTAGCCCAGCTCTATGCCATTACTGGCGAGCCGAATAAGCTGCACTATA